TAGTGCAAAAAACCTGGATTTGATGTAAATGAAAGCTAATAAAAGAACTGATTCACATACCTATTGCCTGTCCCATCATAGGTCCATTCTGAGAAACCCAGACCTTCAAATGAAGAGCCCCAGTAGTACAGACAGGCATCGCAGTGGACGGCATACAGTAGGTAGGTGGTGGTTCGAAAATGAACCGGCATAAACACTCCAAATAAAATGTTAAACAAATGCCCAATACAAAGGTTTATAGAAGCTAACATCTAACCTGTAAACGTAAGCGTTGGTCAGTATAGCTTCCAGACGCTTGTTGAACTCAAAGAAAGACATAAACTGCACAAAGGAAGGACACATTAAAGAATTAACTAAGTTCATCACGGACTGATCTTTCTAAAGCCCAGTTCTAAGGTCCGAGTAGCAGCTTGCCTTCAGGATCCTGGGTAAGCGGAGAAGTGGATTAATCCCTGTTTTGAAGTACAGAAGCTCCAGTGGAAGCAGACTGACCACATCCAGCTGCAACACAGGAAATGAGACCCTTTTTAGACTACAGAATGTGTCCAGTACCTCAGAGCATCAAATTTAGTCAGTCTGGAAAAGTCCAAAACTTTGTATTTAATGAAACGATAAATAGCATAAATGTCTCATTACTTTGAATCGTACAGCTTTGATGTAATTATCTCTTCATCTCTTTCTTGCCAGTCTAAAAACAAATATTTTTCAAAACGCAGGGTGAAAAAACCCCCCAAAACAAAACATTTATTTCATTTGACATATTCTAATATTTTTCCCTTGTCAATATTTACCACAATGTCCCCATGAAGCACAAACTGCAGTCTGGGTTGAAAGGCCAGGATGTCCAGTATGTAGATGGCATCACATAAGTAGTCAATCAACAGCCACACATCGATGTTATCCGGTGTTTGATATGGAAATGCCCAACGCACAGGAATCATCCACGCGCTCCAGTTAAATGCCAAAGACACGCAAAACAGCCAAAGTACGTAGATCAGATCTACAGAGAATACAGAGCAATGGAAGATTTCAGTGTTTATTTCACTCAGATGGTTTATGGAAAATAAATATTGTGGTGCACCAAAATGTTTATATAAAACCAAACAAATCTTGGAGTTGCAAACTTGAATGATTTAAAGAAGTAACAAATATTATGATCATTAAATAAATTAAATTAAATCACCAATGTGAACCAAATGTATCCCTTTATACAAAAGCACTTGTTTTTTCTTTTATCATTTATAAACCTAATGCCTAGATATCAAAGGCTTAAGTTTAAAATGAGAAAGGATGTGAAGCTTAGGAGAGAAAGGGTGTGAGAACAGAACAAAAAATGAGGGAAAATCAGTAACTGATTGGATTTATGTGCAAGTGTGGAATGCCAAGACAGCTCAAACGTAGACAATTGTAGGCCAGTCTTCAGGATTACAAAGAGTAGAGGACTGCAGGAGACAGGAGGAGCGCTCACTAGTGAAGGGGTCGATGCTGGATGGAAAACGGCACTGCAGAAGCCGACCAATCCTGGATTGAGGTTTCACTTTACAGCACAGGATCTTTGTTTTTTCCTCTTCTTTCTCAGCAGGGGCCTCGGACGCCTCCTGCCCTGTTTTCTGCTCTGCTGGAGGTTCAGGAGTAGAAGCTGGAGCTTGCTTACCTGGGGCTGTTCATAAAAGACAATATTAACCATAAGTTTATTTGTATAGCGCTTTTCATGATGCAAATCGTTGCAAAGCAGCTTTACAGAAAATGTAAGTTTCTACATTATATTTAGTACACATTTCTCAACATTTTTTTAATCAACTAGCCCCACATTAACTAGGAACTAAGTTTATTAAGTAATGTTTGACAACCAGTGTCTAAAACCTGTACTTTTTGTCTTAAGCACTTTAAATGTATTGTTTTGTCAACAAACTCATTTATGAGAAACAATTTGCTAGAAAAGTGTGCATCTGCTGACGATCTTTAAAATAAATGCCACTTGGAGAACCTTTTGTGAAACAGAAAGGTTCTTCAGATGTTAAAGGTTCTTTATGGAACCATTTAGACAAAAAGGTTCTTATATGGCATCGTGAAGCACCTTTATTTTTAAGAGTGTATTAATACTAAAAATCAGGCAACACTTTAGGAGCCAAATCTGACTATTGTCTAGTTGCTTGTAAGCATGCCTCTTATTAACATATTGGCTGTTTACTAGTATTTATTAAGCACATATTCTGCATGACCATAATTTACATCCCCAATACACTACCTTACTATCTATTATAAGCAGTAAATTTTATTGAGGCAAATGTGGTAGTTATTGTTTGATAATAGCAAGAATTTAACCTTAAAATAAAGTATGACCAAAATTTATTAGTAATATTCAATTCAATTCAAGTTTATGTGTATAGCGTTTTCATGATGCTAATCCTTGCAAAGCAGCTTTACAGAAAATGTAAGTTTCTACATTATATTTAGTACACATTTCTCAACATTTTTTTAATCAACTAGCCCCACATTAACTAGGAACTAAGTTTATTAAGTAATGTTTGACAACCAGTGTCTAAAACCTGTACTTTTTGTCTTAAGCACTTTAAATGTATTGTTTTGTCAACAAACTCATTTATGAGAAACAATTTGCTAGAAAAGTGTGCATCTGCTGACGATCTTTAAAATAAATGCCACTTGGTAACTCACAGGCAGGTGGTGTTTCATCATCCGAGTTATCTGGATCAATCAGCTTCTCTTTGACTCGCTCTGTTCTCTCTTTGAACAGCTTGACCAGCTCCTGTAACCTCTCATTTACTACAGTGCTAGTTTGGCTGGCTGAAGAGGCTGGCTGTTGATTTAGCCTGAAGACAGAAGATAATTACTGAATTTACCAAAAAAAAAAAATCCCATGTTTATATATATATATATTGCTCTTGGGTTTCCCAAAGCACACTATACTATATCTAACCTATATCTGTAATGTGCCCAACTAGCCTCTATCTGTAATTTGTTTTGTGCCACATTCTATCAATATCTAATATTTCATTTCCATGCATTCATGTTAATTTCACATTCTAAAAGAGTATTTATTAGTTACCCATCATCTGCACTTGAGATGCCACACTGGCTTGGCCAGGCCTGGACTGCAGTTTCTAACTCCTCATCTTCCTCAACATCTTGTGAGTAAAGTCTCTTGCTGTAAGAAGACCACAAGATGACAAGTTATGAAGGGGCTCTACAGGTTTAATAGGACAAGTTTCATTAAATGCACTGAAAAATTTAATGAAAAAAAAAAAATAAAATCTTGGATATGATAAGGTAATGAGAAAGTCTTCACATAATTAATAATATGCACACAAACGCACAAAATGAAGTGGAGAATATGGAGTGGATTACTCTGACAGACTTATTTAAGCATCTTACATCTTGGTCCAAACTGTCTGTGGTTTTCTGTCTCTGCATACACTGTTTTGCATCCAGTGCAAAATGTATGTGCAATATGTGTATGTATGTGCGCGAGTGTGTGTGTGTGTGTGTGCGCACAGACAACAGAACAGAAAAGAAACAAAACATAAATGTATATCAATATTTGTGTATCAGTTGGGCTTTTCACAGTTGAACTTCTTTATTAAATGTTATTGCTAATTCTGCACTTTATGATGCTGAGTAGTCAGGTTTCCAGATTTTCTCACTGTACTGTACATTTGCAAACCCTGGATTAACATTATGATTTGCATATTTTTGAGGTTCATTGATAACATTGATTGGATGGGTAAAGCACACATGGCTTTAACAGTTTCCCTCAGACACTAAAACTACACATTAAGCGTAAGTTTCTGTAACACAGACTAGCGTTCGCATCAAAATTGAAGGGCTTTATGTTAGCACAGGTTAAGTGCAGTACAAATGTCCTGAATATTTACACTTTAGGTGTGGTTACATTTACCATTGTTTGAAATTTGGTCACATGAATTCACCACATTGATCAACAGAAAGCTACTAGATTTGAAAGTGACTTCTGTGTGAGCTGTGCTTCACACATTGCTACATTGACAATAGATTTTTTTTTGTCTGCAAAATTTTGCTAATGTAACCGCAGGTTTTCTACATCCATTGATTAATGAAACAAGGCAGATTTACCTTGTCCGATTAGCTTTATGGGCATCAGGGACGGTGAGGGTTTTGAGGTTGGGGTCCTGTGGGTTTATTATTGGTGGTATGGGGCGAGATCTCCTTCCTACTTTCCCTCGGTCGGAGTCGACATCTTCCACATTCACGGCCGGGTGCACACTCAGTCTGGAGCTCACTGGAGATTAGACGATGCTCAATAAAGAAACATACAAGAAACCTTGACACTGGCACCTTCAGTAGCATCCTCTTTATGACTTACCTTGAGGTAAAATGGACCTTAGAGCTTGAGGTCAATGGTTGGAATATAAAAAGGTCACTTTGGTCACTACAGGCACCCACAACCTAATTTTCTCTAAGTCACATTTGGCAGCAAGGCATAAGAAAAACATAGCACAGACTAGTCTAACAAAAAAGGCAACAGCGTGGATCACCTGAGGGTCTAGCAGAGGTGGGGTCATCCTCAATGTGGAAGGCAGGGTTGGAGATGCCTGACAACTGCCTGGAAGGGGTGATGGGTGGCAGACGGGGGTAAGAGGGCACATTGGGCAGGTCTAGGACAGAGCTTGGGGAAGAGGGCGAAGGGGTACAGGGGGAATGGAGTGGGGACTGGCAGACGAGACGGTCCAACTCCAGATCCCTAGTCTTCTGCGGTTGCTCCTTGGGCATCCTGTTCTGGCTTAAGTTGGTTGAGACGGCTCTGAATGTTAGAGTAGCACTGTTGGGCACACTGTGGAATGCTGGAGATCTTCTGTGGAATGCTGGATATTTTTTGTGGAATGCTGGAGAGTTGTTGCGGAAGGATGGAAAACCGTGGAATGCTGGTCAGCCTTTGTGGAAAGTTGGATACCTTTTGTGGGAGGTTGGATATTTGTTGTGGAATTTTGGACAGCTGTTGTGGGAGGCTGGATAACTGCACGGGGAAGCTGGGAAAATGAGGAGCACTAAAAAGCGTCTGGTTTGGGAATTGTGGGGTGATTTTGGAGAATCGCTGGGAAATTTGTTGAGGGAGCTGTGCCAGTTGAGGAGGAAGAGACAGCAGCTGTTGGGTGATTTGAGAGAGAGCAGAGGGCAGATTGGGCATGGAAGGCACTTTGGGCAAAGTGACATCGATGTCTTTCAAGAACTGGTTGAAGTTGTCAAGGGCCTGTGGCGCATATGGTACACGCATGAAACATCTCTTCAGAGCATCACATCTGGAAGGGTCTGTGGGGACAGCAGCATATTGTCAATTATATTATTCTATGTTACATGAAATGTTTACAATATTCGATGCTCTGTTATACAGAACATTCTGAGAATAATGTCCGGAAATGCCAATTACAGTGGCCCCAAAATGTATTGCATTAAATAAAATATCAAACCAAGTGACATTTATTTTGAAGAAATATAACACAAGAACACTTTTCAAGCAAAAATATTCACAAAAATAAATTTGTTAGGTTAACAAAATAATAAATAAATAGAAATGCCAGAACTCAATGGTACGGATTTTTTTTCTGCTTACGTAGTTGGGCTATTATTTCAGTTTTCTACTTTTCCTGCCAACATTTTCACAGACACAGGACTGAAAATTATGAATTTATAATTTTATATTTCTGCATTTTGTATTCATTATTTAACATTTATTTTTTTACAATTATTTTAATAATACTATTACTATTAACAAATAATTTTCCGATACATTTTCCAATAAATGTTAAGCTTTCTTTATATTGAAAATTTGCAATAATAGCAGACAATTATAGGTACTTTAATTACAATTACACAGGACTCCAAGACAGCAATAAATTCATAAACACTTTGGAAAACGTACTGGTTTGCATTACACTTTCTGGTTGTCAGAAGTTAGTGGAATATGTCCATAGTTAACATGAACTACAATGCAATGACATTAATAAATAAAGGTTTGTCTTAAATTTCTAAACATGTCCAAATAACTTTTAGGGCCACTGTATGTGAGAAACAAAAATGTGGAGGTAATGTACGTCAGTTGTGATGTCATTCTGTGGCTTTTTATCCTGTTAGCATCAGTGTGTTTACACGATCTATTCTGAATGACTGAGATAAACACTCACCACTGCTTTCCTCTTCAGGAGCTGTACTCTCCACCTGAAGCAAAATAACAGAAATATGAGATATTTATTTCAAACACTGTAACACAGAGAGGCAAAAATCTGCACCAAGAAAAAATATGGTCACTGCAGCAGGGTGCTTGTGAGCACAGTGTACTTTATTCAGTCTAACTCCAGAGGGAGTTTTATGTACTTGGTGTACACACTGAATAATTTGTATATGCGAAAAGTCACAAAAGTAAAACAATGTAAGAGAGATAAATCTGAAGGACTAACAAGAATACCTAGTCAGAGCAAGAAAGTTTCAAGTTAGATGGACAGTAGGCCTATACATGAATTACCGGTGAATCAGTTCGTGAAACAGAGGTGCTGGTAATGGACTGAGGTTGCTGAGTGATCGGCTCAGGTTCTTCTTCGGCTTCACTGGAGTCCCTGGGCTCCTCCTCCTCATGATCTCCTCAGGCTCAGGTTCGGTTTCAGGCTCTGGTTCCTCCTGTAGAAGTGAAGAGGACTTGAACTCCTCCACAGGGGTTTCAACAGTCACCGCAGTGTCTATAGCCTCTGCCTCTTGTCCATCTGGAACAAACTCCTTAACTGAAGGTACTTGACACCTGTGGATACACAAGGCATGACGCAGACATCAGCTATTATATAAACAACAGGCTAATCACATTGATAAGCAACTAACACATCTGTGTCAGCTATATATAAACTTACATAAGCACAATTTTCGCATGATGGAGTAATGATAAACTGAGATGTGCCTGTTTGATTTCCAAAAATCTCCATTCTCTTGTTAAGTTTAAACATTTCCAAAATATTATAAACAGAAAGCTATAAACTAGTTCACGCGTTATAATCCTGTAATTATAATGAATTTACTCTGAAATCAGACGCGGTCTCTGAGCGCATCAGGTGATGCAGTGTCCATATCCATCCATTTTGTGCCGTTTTTTATACATTAACGCGTTAGAAGTTGTATGATATGTTGACGCGATTGACTAGAACGATAACAATTTTCATGTTGGAAGTGAAGAATTTGTGCCATCCTTCACTGAGACAAAGTCCTTTGACTGAGACGAGGCACAAAACAAGCATCAGAGCCGCGATTAGTAACTATAGCAACGGCAGAGGGGGCACCGCGCGCCTCTATGGTATGCGATGCGGTTGCTAGGAGACGACATAATCTTGAAATTTTAAGCAGTGCGCCAGAAATGCGTGAGTTGTAATTATGCGTGGCATTATTTTTTTATAAAACACAGATCTAAAAATACAGAGACCCTACTTTCAGTTATTTTGTTTTGCAAACAAAGACTAATGTGAAAAGCACTAAAACATGTTTGCTACAAGGAAAGCATGGGGAGTAAGAAACTATGATATTAGTCTTCCCAGCATGAACTAACAAATATGCTGGTTATTCCTGATTTCCTTGTTCATCAATCATGTTTGTTATAATTCTTCATATGTCTTACGATGCAATTTGATTCCGTATGACTTCTACATCACTTTCCTCTTCCTGCAGCACTTGTAATCTGACACACAGAAACATTCAAGTTATTAAGGTTTTGGTATTGTATCAAGGATGTTATCAAATATTTAGTATTAGGGGGACAAATGGTGAAATTTCAAGAATTGGTCACTGAAAAACCATCAGCTTTCAATGTTGAAAACAGTTGTGCTGCTTAATATTTTTGTGGACAACATGATACGGTTTTTCCCAGTAGTCTTTGATGAATAGAAAGTTCAAAAGAACAGCACTTATTTTAAATATTTTGTAACATGAATAAAATTTATATAAGTTCTGAATCTTACTTACCCATAACTTTGAATGGTAGTGTATCATGATTTCCACAAAAATATTCAGAAGCAAAAACGGTTTTCAACATATTTTTTTTCTAAATGTATGCATATACAGTATATACATTTATCACAAAGAGGGATTGATTTTTTGTTGGTGTGCATGAATTACTCTTGATCAACATCTTCTGACTCTTCTGCAATGCTCTGAATGCTGAACCGGGCCTGTGCCAACTCCCTGACAGCCATCTCTGCTGTCTGACGTGCCACCTCTTCTGCCATTCGTGCCATCGCCAGACGCTCATGTATCAACCTACACCAGAGAACAGCAACACAGATAAGTCTGGTTTTCACTCTTGAAGGACTAGTTCACCTAAAAAATAAAATGTACTCAACTTCAGGCCATCCAAGATGTCGGTGAGTTTGTTTCTCAATCAGAACAGATTTGGACAGATTCAGCATTACATCACTTGCTCACCAATGGATCCTCTGCAGTGAATGGGTGCCATCAGAATCAGAGTCCAAACAGCTGATAAAAACATCACAATAATCCACACGACTCCAGTCCATCAGACTTTAGCTATTAATATTTTTTTAAGATACTGAAAAATGTCAGGGCATGCCAAAACTTCTCCAGGGCCCCAAAACACCCTTAGACCCCAGAGGGTTAACGTCTCATGAAGTGAAAAGCTGTGTGTTTGTAAAAACAAATCCATCATAAAGACGTTTTAAACTTTAAAATCGCTTCTGACCAAAACAGAAGTCCAAAATATGTTATCCTCGAACATCATAATCCACCATTTTTTATTTGTTTAGAACTATTTTTGCTTGCAAACAGTGCTTGATCTGTGCATATTTCACTCCTGATTCAGAAGAGATGACTTTTTCCACTAGAGTAAGCAATATTATGGATAGAGGACTCGCATTTTAGCTGAAAGCAATGGTTTGAAGTTAAAAATGGCTTGATGATGGATTTGTTTCTTACAAACATGCAGCTTTATGTTTCACAAGACATTAATTGATGGTTTGTGTATTATTGTGATGTTTTTATCAGCTGTTCTGACTCTCATTCTGACGGCACCCATTCACTGCAGAGGATCCACTGGTGAACAAGTGATGTAATGCTACATTTCACCAAATGTGTTCTGATTAAGAAATAAACTCTTGTACATCTTGGATGGCCTGAGGGTGAGTAAATCATCAGCACATTTTCATTTCTAGGTGAACTCTTCCTTTAAGGCTGTTACTTTAAATACTTGATCATCAAGCTGCCGCTGTGCTTCCAGCAAGAGAGAGAGTTATTACCGTTCCTCCATAATTAATATGGCAGTGTCCTCCGCCTCTCTCCTGATGCTCTCGATCATGGGTGTCCATCGTGCAGTTTGGGTCTCTGAGTCCTCCAGTTCTATGTGTGCTTGTGAGGGTGTGGTGACACTCAGTGGAAGAGATTGTTCTGGTGACCATGGTGTTTGTGGTTGGGACTGAGGTTGTGAATTTGGCGGTGAGTTTGCAGTTGGACATGTTTCCTTTTCTTGAGCCTCATCTTCAGAGTCAACCTCTTCAAGAACGAGGTCTGCAGGAGCTGACCAAACACTGCCTGCTAAAGATACAACCATGCTTGAGGACTGTTTTAAAACTTCACATTAGAAAAAAAAAAAAAAAAAAAAATGTCATGACGTGATTCTGTGGTATACAATATTTTATATCCATTACTGTGCTGGTTTTTGTCCTCTTAAATTTAATGTGATGAGGTATTTTGAAACAAAACAATTATCCAGGTCAATAATTTACACCTGTTTTGCTTCAATAATTCCTTTACTTTTAACATTTCAAACATCAGGCCACACTGGCATCTGAGTGTTTAGAAAGTAGGAAACATCTGTAAGATTAAATAAAGTCAAAGTTATCGTCATGTGTTTTTCCCAAGGAATTTTATTATTATTATTATTATTATTATTATTATGCCAGTAGAAACTGAACCCTTTACACATGAGTGCAGTTATGTATTTTCCTTTATTAGGATTTATATACTTTACTAACATTAAGTATATAAAATATTAATATACATACAGATTAAATTACAATAATTCAAAACATATAAAGTGTTCAAAAACCGTTCAAAAGTTTGGGGTCAGTAAGACTTTTTTTTAAAGAAATTAATTCAACAAGGATGCATTACATTGATAAAAAGTGACAGTAAGACATTTATAATGTTACAAACGGTTTATATTTCCAATAAATCCTGTTCTTTTGAAATTTCTATTCATTAATGAATCCAGAAAAAAACTTATCATGGTTTCCATCATGCAGCACAACTGTTTTCAACATTGATAATAATAATAATAATAATAATTGTTTCTTGAGCAGCAAATCAGCATATCAGAATGATTTCTGAAGGATCATGTGACACTGAAGACTGGAGTAATGATGCTGAAAATTCAGCTTTGCCATCACAGAAATAAATGACATCTTAAAAATATTCAAATAGAATTCAGTTATTTTAAACTATAATAGGTTTCACAATATTTCTATTTTTCCTGTATTTGTGATCAAATAAATGCAGCTTTGGTGAGCATGAAAGATTTCTATGAAAAACATTTTTTTTTTAATAAAAATCTTACTGACCCAAAACTTTTGAATGGTAATGTACATGTCTTAAAAGCAGCCTGAAAAGCAGGCACAGAGTATAGCCACAATTAGAAGTCAACGCAATACGACGTTTTCTCTTTTTAAAATAATGGGTTCTTTCTACTCATTTCATTTGAGTACTTTTTTAACACATATTAGGGAAACTTGCAGTAAAATGAACGATAATTACATCTCATGAGGATCATAAATGTTTTAAGACATGTACAGTCATTCCAATCTAAATGTCAGTTTATAAAGATCACTGCTGCAACAACAAACACCCATCTGAGAGATGCCAGCTATTCATACAATATTGAGTCTAACTTAAAGTTAAACATAAATATTATTAAAAATATATTTGTTTTTGGTTAGTTATACAGTAAGTTAAATAAATGTTTTTTAAAAATATATTTGTTATACAGTACAGAGGCAAACAGCGTATGTTGTTCTTTGTCAGCTGCGCCACGCGGATATGTTTTCTATGTTGTTTGTGCTTTGGTTTGAAAGAAAACAACGTATCCATGTGGTGCGGCTGACTCAGAACAACATACGCTGTTTGCGTTCAGTGGATACTCTCCAAAATAGCGCTAGGGTGACGCGGAGGAGACGTATTGTTGAATAAAGTAGTTTTTTTTTCTTTTGTGCACAAAAAGTATTCTCGTAGCTTCGTAAAATGACGGTTGAACCCCTGATGTCACATGGATTATTTTACCGATCTCCTTCCTATGTTTCTGGACCTTGATCGTGGTAATTACATTGCTGTCTATGGGAGGGTCAGAGAGCTCTTAGATTCCATCAAAAATATCTTAATTTATGTTCCGAAGATGAACGGCGGTTTTACGGGTCTGGAACGACATGAGGGTAAGTAATTAATGACAGAATTTTCATTTTTGGGTGAACTATCCCTTTAATCAAATTTGACGTGACTCACCTGGGAGTTTTTGAATCGATCTCTGTCACGCTGGTTACTGACTCTGGAGGAGGTGAATAAACTGAACCAAACCAAACATGAAGCTAAACAGTTACAATCCTTAAAAATTTAGCATATTTTCTGTATCATACAGTTTGAACAATACCTTTGTTTGAGCACTGTGATGACCTCGGCGTGGAAGAACTGGAATTTGGGGGTCTGGTCACATGGTGCGGAATAGTGTTCTGGAAGCCACTCTTTATCCAGCTCATTACACTGTTTGCAAATTGAAATAAGCATTAGTGTTTCTTAGAGATTTGCCAGTGGCTTAAAGGAATAGTTCACTCAGAAATTAACATTTGCTGAAAATGTACTCACCCTCAGAGCATCCAAGATGTAGATGAGTTTGTTTCTTAATAGTAAGAGATTTGGAGAAATGTATCTTTACATCACTTTTGTTTCTAACAAACACGCAGCTTTTCACATCAGATGATGTTAATTGATGGACTGGAGTTGTGTGGATTACTTGTGGAATATTGTGATGTTTATATCATCTGTTTGACGGCACCCACTCACTGCAGAGGATCCATTGGTGAGCAAGTGATGGAATGCTACATTTTTTACAAATCTGTTCAAATTAAGATACAAACTCATCTACATCTTGGATGGCCTGAGGATGAGTGAGTTTTCAGCAAAGTTCCATTTTTGATGAACTACCTTTTGGTGAAGTCTCTTATGAGATTCAGGTCCCTATATGTGATTTTGATTATTAGTAATAGTGATATCGATGCTTGTCTAAGCAAAACTCTTTTAATAAACTTAAGGCACCCAATTTGCAACTATAACATTGTCACCATTTCCCCCTGTGCGCTTCACAGAATGACACTCACTTAGGAGGGAACGGAGCGGTTGGTTCCACTTCAGATGCCTCGTCTTCTGACATCAGTTCTACTACTGGTATATGTGGCAAAGGCTCCTGATCTGGTGTAAGAGATACACAGTAAATATAGTTTACTGTTTGAATACTGAACCCACCATAGTTCTCATTAATTCAACTCTGGCTATTTTTCTTAATGCAAACTGACTGATAACACACCTGGGAGGTCCTCTGCCTCATAAACCTGAAGCAAATGAAGAAAAAGAAAAAGAAAAAGAAAAAGAAAAAGAAAATTAATATAATAATAATAATAGGCATATATAGTTTCAGACAAGCCAACAATCAGTTTGTTTTGGTGACTTTTTCTTTTCTAGCTATATATTAAAGCGTTATTGTTTCCAAATTAATAATAATATTATATTATATATATTTTTAATTTTTTTTTCTAAAATAGAAATACATATTTTGTTTATATTCTTAAATATATTAATAGATATATTAAATTAAATAAAAATTAACATTAATCTCTTTAAACATATGCACGCTATCTATGCTTTTAATAATATATTAAGGTTTAGATTATATTTTTCTTTTTTGGTTATTTCTAATATTCTAGTAAATCTTACACACAGTTTGCTAACCTCTGTGACTTCTTCAGATTCTGGAGTCTTGTCCTGTATGTATTTCTCATCAGGCTGCGGGACCACTTTTCCAATTCCCTGTGAGATCCAGCCAATAACTCCAGCCCTGGCAGACAGAGAGAGCTCACGCTGTGTGTGTGTGTGTGTGTGCGTGCTGCAAACACACTTCATGGACAATGATTCCTCAGTGGACTGATGTTCATGATAGGAATACTGTTTATCACCTTACCTGTCTACAGAACTTTCATCCTGAAGCAACTGCAAGATGGTTAAGAGAAAAGTTCATGTGCAAAGAAAAAATTTGCTTTGAATGCACATTAATATGCAACACCAAATGGTATTAAATATCAAACTACTTTAGTTGACAAGAAATCAATACTTTTGCATCAGAGTTGGCTCTCGTAAGAAGAGGGCTCCCGGGTTGGGGCAGTGCGCTTGCAAAACCGTTGGAGATCCAGTTCAACATACCACTTTGAACACTGAAACAAACGGATTTCAGCATGTTTCATGTGCAGACAGTTGGAGAATGTCTTTTTGTACTTTACGGGAAAGATCGGTTAAGACTCACCTATCTTTTGATGTTTGAGATGATTGGTCTTCCTCCCTGCCTGTTTTGGATGAACTGAATTTATCTGCATGACAATAAGAGAGAAATAGTCTCATTGTGCATTAGTATACTACATTTTGATTGTTTATATAGTACCGTAGTTGTAGTATGTTTCACATTAAACCTAATCATGTTAAAACATTTCAATCAGTAAAGGTGCTGTAAATTTACCTCGATTTGATGTTTTCCCATTCTTCAGAGAAAAACCAAGGGAGATATAAGAATTGGACGTTTAATTTATGAGAGTACATTTATTATGTCTCATTTTATGTTTTATTATTTCTATACCTCATGGTTAATGAAGTTAGAATAAAAACATTCAGATTAATTTTAGAACTGGCCATTTTGACACTTTTATAGGTATAATAGAGAAAGGAAAGACAGAAATAGTGAGGTGTAGAAAAGGGAATAGGATAAAAAAAACGTTACAAGCTAGGTTCAAACCTGCTTTACCCACATAAGCACCATGACTCAATATGTCAGAACATGTGTGCTAACTGCTAGGCCAGGGGTCTCAAACTACTGGCCTGTTACAGTAAGTGTATAAAGTTTGAATTCATAGTTGTAAAACACTTGCATTTGTTGTAAGTCATGACCCCAGAACACATTTAGTGTCAATCAGATTATTTGCACTGTTAAATATAGTCGCAGATATTTGTGAGGTGTGTATTATGAGTCCATGTTAATGGGCTTGTGGGTTTACCGCCGTGATCGCCTCCTCCCCCAGATCCTCCTGTGTATCAGGAGGATGTGGCACGACCTTCACCACCCAGTTAAACATCCTGAGAGAAGGACAAAACTGTTAAATCAATAAGTATCTCTTAAACACACTGATGATGGAATAGACTATGGAAAAATGCCATAAAATCCCATTGTTTGAGTCAACAGGGAGTAAGAATAGATAATCTTAACCTGAAATAAGTTACAGTTAATTATGTTTCATCCTCATCAAG